CAATTGAAATTTTTTTTGGGTTTTAAACCTACTTTTATAGTCCTACATAAAATTCCTTTTGATTCCATGGTTTGTAGAACAAACCATACATATAAAACATAGAACTATGGGTAAATCAAAAGTGACTTTTTCCAGCTGATTGCACTAATTAACAAACGCATATTGAACGAAGACGCTGCGCCGTAACTCATGACCCATTCGATAAAAATCAAACGATCATAAAATACATAAAGTCTTTTTCAAACTTGGCTTGCGAATATACGGGTTTTAATTATGATTGTAATCTTTATGGATGTAAAAGAAAAAAATGGCGATGAATTTACGAGAAAGTGGTATTAATTTTAACCTTTTAATAATAGTAATAATTTACATATCTCTAAATTCAAATGGCGATCTATACACGTTCAGCATCTGTTGAACTTTGGAGTAATTTTCTTTCTTCAATTTGTCAGGTGTTGAAACTTTAATTAACTGATCGAAAAGAATTCCATTAATTTAATTAGATGGTTAATTTCTCAACGCAATTATTGAATTTATAGAAATTGAAAGCGGTCAATTAAATTAGCAAAGGGTGTAACTATAGTGTAAAGAAATTTACGTGATAAAATCTCAAGAATCTAACACAGTTTAATTTAAAGACCACACTTCAAGGATTTCGAAATATTTAGTGTTTAATGGCACATAATTTTTTGTTAAAAAAATGACTGAAATGTGTAATGTATACATTACGTAATATATTTAATTAATATATTTTAGTTAACCTTCTTAAGACACATATCTACAGATCTGTATATCTATATATCTTAAAACATCCTTAAAACAGTTGGCTGTAGTTGAAATTTTTAATATAATTTTTAACACACAACAAGTTGTGCTACCAATAATACTTAATAAGGGCGTGGGGCTTGAACAAGTGTTTTATTTGTTTTATATCTCTTAGTATCTTCCTAGATATTGATGACGAAGGTTTGGTTAAGTTTGTCTAGTTTAAATTTTATTGGAGCAATTTTGCTACCACGCGCCTAATGATGTAAGTATATTTTTAGTTGATTTTTTTTTATTTGTGATATTTTTTCTGTTGCTACCAGTTTTATATTGCTAAAAAATATCATTTACCAGTTTTTGTATAATAATAATACTAATAACATTTTTTCAAGGAAACAAAAAAATTGATGTGGTCGATTAATTTAAATTATTATGCCTTGATTGACGATTTAAAAACTAATTTTTTGTAGGTTATTTAGTGATCATTATATTTAATATTTTGTTAATTGGGTAGAAATTTTTTAAATGAGCCTACGATTTTTGACAAAAGTATTCAAAATTAATATACTCATTAAAAAATTCATATGTTTAAAAACATTGTGTGATTGAACATTTCTGCACCGTTTCATTGAAAAATCATTATCTTGTAAATTTTAAACTATTCATAAAAAATCAATGAAAATTTCAAAGGATGTTAAGAAATAAATTCAATGAGCAACCTTCTCATTATCGTGCTGTTCCTCATTGTTGATAATTTATATAATTTTCTTAATAAACAAATGCCAATCTTACCCAGTTCTACACACGGAATTTTTTTTAAGTACCTACTGGGAAGCCTGAAGATTTAAAAACAGTTTCAACTCTCCTTTGGGTTAATGATAAATAAGATTGTTTAGCGACGCGCCAGGGTATTAAATCTAATCAATTACGTGTTGTTTGTGCTATACCTATAGGTTAGCCAGTATATTTTCGACGCTACTGATCAATTTAATTAAAATTTTTACTAAATCAGGGTTATTAACGTAACATTTTATAAAGATGCAGTTTACAAAATTTTTGATTCATTTTACAAGGTTTTTTATATATAAACCAGAATAAAATTGCCCCTACTGATCCAATTAAATTATAGTATATTGTATAACGAGTGTTACAATGACTATTGTTATACCGCACGACCGCAAAGTGGAGTGCGGCAATAGTAAGAGTATCACAATAAGTCATTGTAACACGAGTTTTCCATACTATTTTGGCTATTTTGACCATAATTTATCAATAAAAATTAAAAAAAAACAAGTAGTTTAATTCATGTTACTAGGTTGGCATAATTGACGTGAAGCGAAATGTCAAAATTAAATATTGTCTAATGTCTATTTTGTCTAATTCGATGCTTCTAAGGCCAGACAGTTCACTATTACTTCTAATGATTTTAGACAGATTTTATTATATAATTTTTCTTACTACCTCGACTCAAAATACGTTGTTTCGTCCCCGATTTCACGGCAGAAAGTTTACGTTTCTTGCATTGGTCAAGCTATACGCGCACACTCTAATAGCGGGAGTAAAAATTTTTTAGTCGCGTGCTTAACATTTAAATTTCGTACTGCCAACATGAGAAACACAAAAATATGACAGTTTTAAACCATAATTTTGCAATTATAACAACAAATAAACAATTTATGTTTTTACTTCTTTACTTTTTATGTTGTTTTAAGTGTTTAATGGTACTTTTATTTGTTATAAAGTAGTAATTTGTTAATTAAAATACAACCTTTTATTTTTACTGTATTGGCACCGCTGAATTACCATGACAACGCTACAGTTTGATTGATTTTGAATGTAAACGTCAGAATTAAATTAAACGTCAGATTTTAATTTTGACACAAATTTTTTTATATACATTTAATTTTTTCCCGTATTTTCTGCAGGGTAGTAAGAAAAATAGTATACACTACACGGGCAGAAAGTGTGAGAGTCCTGAACTGCGCGCCATCATGGCGCGCAGTGCAGGAATCTCACACTTTCTGCCCTTGTAGTGTAATATACTATTGATAAACAAACCCAGAACACATCGTTGACATGAAAATTAAAAGGGTTGCCAACAGTCTGAAATAAAAAATTTCGATGCTTCTAAAAAGCTCTTAGTAGCACTAAAAACGATGCTTAGACCCGCAATTGTCTAAAATTGTTTTATTATGGTTAAATTGACCAAGTAATTAAATCCTTTTCTTTAGTTTGTAGGTTAATACATTTTTATATTGTCAACATTTTCTTTTATATCAAGTTTTCTTGTTTGTTTTGAAAGAAGAAGACAGTAACTTTTACTTACAAATAAAGAATAGGTAACCTACTCAAGACAAATTTAGGATTTTCAATATTATACCATACGAAAGAGAAAGTAAAACTATATGAATACCGTAAATAAATACAAAACATTTACATATTGTATTTTCACAATGAAATTTGTTTGGATTAAGTTAATTCTGTATTGTTTAATAGACTTTTCTAAAGTTGGATACGGTTTCTCAATGATTTTTTGCAATTTAAATTTTAATTGTTTTTGATGTTTAAACATATTATTATTTATCCATAATAAATTTAATTGCAAAATATTGCTTAAGCTAATACAATCTACCACCACCAGCCAATTTGGTAATTATTATTAGATGTAAAACTCATATCTGCTCTGGATCAGCACCTGTAATTTTGCACGAATATCAAAAAATCCTTTAACCTATATATTCGAGACATGGTAGGAAGCTTTTAATCGAATAAATAGATGTTTATGGCCCATCAACCGCTTAATTCTTATCTGAAATAAGAACACTATGATCAAGCCTCGACTTCATCGAGTTATCCAGTTGACCTGTTTCCGACTATAAAATCTAGTGTTGTTGCACGTCAAAAATTGTTGAAATAGTTCCAGGAAACACGTGCAGTCACACGTGTGAAACTAGATAAGACGCCTTGCCGGCGAATATTTAGAAATAAGGCGTTCGAGAAACTCGTAATCGCGCCCAGACACGACAGGCAACACCTTTCTGCATGCCCTGTTAGGTTTGTTAAGTTAGCTTATACATAACGCGAACAAAACTGCTCCGGGGTCTAGAGAAATTAATTTATTCGATTTTATAATGGCACTCGTACGGAATACCTTGAACAAGTCTAATGAAAGGAAAGTTCATTAAAGAGCAATATTTTAAAATGTAATTATTGATATTAAAATGATGTACCTACTTGTATGAGGCGCCGTTTGCGTCAAAATAAAAGTGTAGAAAATAAATATAATATCTCTTACAAAATATTTAATTTAATAGAAAATGTATAGAAAACACAAAATAGGTATATAAAATATAACAAAACAAATAAAATCCAACAACACATATATTACACCTGTAACAAAACAAATAAAATCAAACAAAACATATAAAACATAACGAAAAAAATAAAATTTAATAAAACATATAATACCTACACCTGTAACAAAACAAATAAAATCAAACAAAACATATAAAAGCCAACAAAATATTAAAACTCGGGTTCCTCACTTCACCGTTTAAGGGCGCTCGACGCACAAGTTTCAAGAAGACTAATAAAACCCCTTCAGCGAAGTCATGCATCAAATCCTTGAAAAATGTTGTAACTTCATCAATCCCTGGCAGATTCAACTCCATCGTTTTCAATTAGGTAAAGCTATAAATTAAAATTTAAAAGTAAAAGGATTTAAAAAAACCTTAAAAACTTACCATTATTAATATTAGTCTTTTTAAAACTTGTGCGTCGAGCGCCCTCAAACGGTCAAGTGAGGAACCCGAGTTTTAATATTTTGTTGGCATTTATATGTTTTGTTTGATTTTCTATATTTTGTTGGATTTTATTTGTTTTATTATAGGTATATTATATGTTTTGTTGAATTTTATTTTTTTCGTTATGTTTTATATGTTTTGTTACAGGTGTACTACATGTTTTGTCGGATTTTATTTGTTTTGTTATATTTTATATGTTTTATTATATTTTATATACCTATTTTGTGTTTTCTATACATTTTCAGTTACATTATATATTTTGTGAGAGATATTATATTTATTTTCTTTTTTACGCAAAGGGCGCCTCATATACTTGTATACGCGCCTGAGAGTTATATTTAAAAAAATAAAAAATATTAAAAATTTTGGAGATTTTTTATATTAAAAGAATTTTTGAAAATAACAAAAAAAATTAAAATTTTACTGTCTTACCATTTCTTAAATTTATGCCACTGTGCGAGTTTGTCCTACCATTTTGTAAATTTATCCTACGGTGCGAATTTTTCCTCTCATTTTTTTAAATGTTAGAGATGTGACTCGAAAAAAAAAGATTCGTTTTTTTTTGTTTTTTTTTTCATATAGTTTTTTTTTAAGACAGGTCTTATACTAAACTTTAGCCACTAAATGACATTTAGTAAATGTAATGTAATGCCACCACAACCGAATTGACCAATAAGGGTTTGTTTTGATTTGTTCTTAAAAAAAGTAAATATCTACCTATAATAGACTTAAGTTTTACATTGTTATTGGTTTCTTATGTGGAAACTACCAAACAATAAGAAATCAAAATTTTTAATAATGTAATATATTCCAAATTTCACTTTATTAATAAAACATTTTACTCAAAATGTCTGTTAAAAAGGTGATTCACCAGTGGCGGCTGGTGGATTTTGGGTATACCAATATCTTAATTTATATGAGTTTATAATGACATTAAATAAACAAGTTCTGCGCAAGCAGAATTTAAATTGATGTTTGCGAAAAAAGATAAGTTTAATAAATATAATATAAATTTAATTGGTGCAATTTATTGCTTACCATAGTTTATTGACAAATTTCAAATTTTATTTAAAAAATCTAAATTATACAGATTTTATAACATTTTAAATTTTGATTAATTCTTTAAAAACATATATTACTAATTTAAAATGGTATAAAATCCGTATAATTTGGATTTTTTAAATGAAATTTAAAATTTGTCGATACACTGTGGTAAATAATAAATTGCAAAAACAAATTTATATTATATTTATTGGGGGCGCCATGGGGCCAAATTGGCCCGGCCAATACGCCCGAGCAAAAATTTATCTTTTTTTCTCAAACTACAATTAAAATTCTGCTTGCGCAGAACTTGTTTATTTGTCATTATAAACTCATATAAATTTGGCGTGGGTCCAATATCAAATAATTGAGATATAGATCTAGAGACCTGGTCTGTGTATCGATCGGTATACCCAAAATCCACCACTGGGTTCCACAAGGTACAGTTTTAGTTCATTGTTATTCATCATAAACTACTCATTAACGACATGTTTAATTATGTAAATACATAAGTGCAATATTTCCATGTTTGCTGACGACACTATGTTACAAAAAAATGTAAATATGTGGTAATTGGTTCAAATTTCCAATATAAATGTAGATATTAAAATTAATAATACCTATTAGTCTGGAAAGAGTACAAGAAATAAAATACCTAGGTCTTATTTTAGATCAATGTTTAAATTTCACTGTAATTATGCTCTCTAAAAATGAATTAGTCAAAAATTACTAATTTAATAGTTATTAGTGGCTGCTTTTTCACTTGTACCATGGTATCCCAAAATTGAACAGCCAATTCTTATGTAAAATAATTTACAATTATTGTCCCCTGAATCCGAAAATCAAATCAAAAACTTTCATAATTTTTGACGGCATTTTCCGATTCAGCGGACAATTTTACCTAAGAATTGGCTGTTAAATTTTGGGATACCATGTTATTCCATGGTTAAACATGGTACAAGTGAAAAAGCAGCCACCAATAACCATTAAATTAGTAATTTTTGACTAATTCATTTTTAGAGAGTGTATTATGTCTAAATTGTCCAAAAAAGGGTCTTTATTTTTACCTTACATTGAATTTTGTTCAACTGCCTTTTTTAATTTTAATCAAAGTAAAGTTTATAAAGCCTTTATAGAAAATAGAGCATTACGGAATATTTTAAAATGAAATAAATGCCTACACGCCTATTAAATTAATGTTTGAAGTGTTTGATTTTATGAGTGTTAAACCAAGGATTACGTTTAAAGCAAAAAAACTAATTAGTACCTGAATATTTGTATTAAACTCTGTGCATAATATGTATGAAACTAGACAAAATAAAGACTTTTATATTAAAACTTAAAAAGTATATTTTTTCTAAAACTGTTCGACAATTTAACGAAAAATATAAAATACGATGTGGCTCCCGTCCCGAGGCGGGACTTAACTTCGATCCCGACAGACGTCACACACTGTAAATCCGTTTTTATTCCCCGAGCTTTTATAATTGGTGTCAAGCTGGATGGATTAGATGGTAGGGCGGTCGCTTGGCATGCGAGAGGTACCGGGTTCGATTCTACTAGAAGTTGTCAAACTTTTTTTATTTTATAAATTTGTTGTTTCTTTGTTAAAAAGTGTTTTATTTTTATCATAACATAAATTTGCCCATTTTAGTTGGGTTTTTTGCTCAATGGGGCGGGGGGGGGGGTCAATGGGGCGGGGTCGGTTGGGTTGTGTTGTTGAGTTTGGGTTGGTTTGGTTTTATGACGTAACTAACGTGCCCTTAACATGTATACAGGTACAATTTATTATTATTATTATTTTATTAGGGACGGGAGCCACAGCGTATAAAATATTGTAATAAATACATATCAGGATTTTAAGAAAATTTTAATTTATTAGATTAAAAATATGTTTTAGTCTTAGTGTTAGTATTAAAAACTGTAAAAAAACTAATTGTTAAAAATAGCTTGCTAAATAAACTATATTTATTTATTTATTTAAAAAAATACTCAATTTTTTAAGATTTATGTTATTTATTGACAGAATATGCTTTATTGTAGCGGATTTAAAAAAAACGAAAAGAACCGTTTTTTTTTCATTTTTTTAATTTATGTAAGGATGTAAGGACAGTTTTTAATTATCCAATTTTTTCGAATTTGGGCAGTTTTCAATTACCTGAAACATTAATTTTAATGAACAGTTTTTAATTTCACCATTTTAAATAAATTTAATTTAAAAACAGTTTTAAATTGTCCAATTTCGTTCGAGCCGCACGCACATTTACACATCTACATCTTACGCGTTACGGCTAAAGCGTCATTCACATCCACTTTGCATACGTGTCTTAACAATAAAACATTAGATAAAAAACATAAATGATTATTCTCAATTTACATCGACGTTAAACATAGGAAACATGCGCATGCGCAAGATAAGTGACAGGGTAGTTGCCGGTATTTTGTTTATTTACAATTTGAGGTTATTGCTCGCTTATGTTCTGTGATCGCTCGTGAAATTGTTATGGATATTATATTTCATTTGATCTTTAAAATCTGATCGTTTTCTGTCATATAAAATGGATAAGAATGCACCAAGTCAATTAAAGCCCCGTCATCCATTTTATTACAAAAAGTTTTTAATAATCAGTAAAAACACCCACAGATCATAAAACACCTATTGGTAAACAATTTGAGGTTAGAAGTAGTTGACAATTCTAGAGAGAGAACGACCGATCGACATTTCTTTCTTAAGACTCATCTCATTGGTTAAACATGGTAGACATAGCATAACAAAGCAAAAAAGTTAAGCGTCATTCACATCCACTTTGCATACGTGTCTTAACAATAAAACATAACATAAGAAAAGTTAAAATACAAGGTTTTATATGGATCCGTTTACATTCAAATAAAACATGAGAGACATAAATTAACGGACGAAAAAGTTGAGTCAACTTTAACTTTTTTGCTTTGTTATGCTATGTCTACCATGTTTAACCAATGAGATGAGTCTTAAGAAAGAAATGTCGATCGGTCGTTCTCTCTCTAGAATTGTCAACTACTTCTAACCTCAAATTGTTTACCAATAGGTGTTTTATGATCTGTGGGTGTTTTTACTGATTATTAAAAACTTTTTGTAATAAAATGGATGACGGGGCTTTAATTGACTTGGTGCATTCTTATCCATTTTATATGACAGAAAACGATCAGATTTTAAAGATCAAATGAAATATAATATCCATAACAATTTCACGAGCGATCACAGAACATAAGCGAGCAATAACCTCAAATTGTAAATAAACAAAATACCGGCAACTACCCTGTCACTTATCTTGCGCATGCGCATGTTTCCTATGTTTAACGTCGATGTAAATTGAGAATAATCATTTATGTTTTTTATCTAATGTTTTATTGTTAAGACACGTATGCAAAGTGGATGTGAATTACGCTTTAAAGTTGACTCAACTTTTTCGTCCGTTAATTTATGTCTCTCATGTTTTATTTGAATGTAAACGGATCCATATAAAACCTTGTATTTTAACTTTTCTTATGTTATGTTTTATTGTTAAGACACGTATGCAAAGTGGATGTGAATGACGCTTAACGCTTCTTTTTCCCCCGGCCGCGTATTGGCATTGTGTACTACGATACAGAGCCATAGTGTTCTGAATCGCAGTAAGGATTGACAAAATTAAACGCCACTAAGTACAATACAATCCATACTACGATTCAGCACATCTCCCAGTTTGTAATGTTCTGAATCATAGTAGAGAATGGTGTAGGGTATGCGCGACCGCAGCAGGCCATACTTTACTACGATTCAGAAAATAGTATTCTAATTTGAATTGTAGTTGGATAGCTTACCTACAAATACGCTAGCTGCACGCCTTATCAATAAAAAACAAATTATTATTTTTAATTGGAATTTATTTATTAATAAATATTAATAAAAACAAACTAGGTACTCTCTGCAGTTTTAATAATAAATATACATTAACCCAAAGGAAAAAAATCATTTCAAACTTATTAACAAAAAGATCGTTTTACCCAAAAATTTTGCAAGTATCAGATATAAACGTACCACAACGGATTTAAATAATATTTGAAATAGTTAATAGGATTTTTTTCTACTTTTACATAAAACTATTAATTTTGCAAAAACATAAACATAAAATATACATAAATAAGAAATTTTATTTTATTGTATTGTATTATATTATATTATATTTTGTATTGGGTTGTTTTCTTTAATAGACACCAAATAAAAATACATAGATTATACTTGATATAATAATTTAAAGTTATATTTTTTATTTTTTAAATACCTATATAAAATCCTTTGCTTTTTTCTCTTATATTTAAGAAAGAAAAATAGAAACATGAGGGCATTAACTACTAAAATATTTATAAAAATC